AAACATACCCTGAGAGCAGAGTCAACAGGAGAGGCCATAGTGTTAGGGCCACCCAAGAACTCTAGAATTCACATCTCAGCACACTGTGTCCTGGATGCTGGATATGGAGCTACAGGAATGAGTGTTTGTTGTGCTGTGTTTTGTTTTTTTCTTTTGTCATATTCTTTCCTTTTTCTCATTTCTCCTTTTAGGAATTGGAATATTTAATCTTCCCTGTACCTTGAAATCATGTAACTTTCTTTTGATTTTTGCAGGTGTTCACAGCTAAGAGTTTGCATTAAATCTCTGATGGATGAAACTTTGATTTAGCTTTTGTAACAGTACTGGGACTATTGAGTCTTTTGGAGGAAATTACTGTGTTTTTGTCAGGATAATTATATCAGGTAAAATTATTAGCTCGGTATGGTGTTTGGAGATTAACTATTGGTTTCAAGAGATGCGCTCAGGGGTCAAGTTTGCAAGGGGTGGGATGTGACAGGTCACCTTATTTTTGTCAACTTAATTGGTTTGGGATCCACCCAAAGGAGTAATATGGCACATTTCTGCTTGTGTCCAGGTGGGTCATGGGCACATGACCTTGTGCAGTCCCTTGGCTTTTCTTATCTGGCACTGTTTCCCTATTCTGCTTCCCAGCCTCTAAGAACTAGGCATCTCTGTCTCACCACACCCTGCCACCATAAAGTTTCTGTCTTGGATCAAGTTGACCATTGACTGAATTTCTTGAAGCAGGCCAAATTAAACCTCTCCTCCTTTGTTTTGAGTGTTGGGTATTTTGTCATAGCAACAGGAAAGCTTACTAATATGGTACTATTTTGTTTTCCAATGGTATTTGCCATGTTATATGCTGGTTTTAAGTTTGCAAATTTAAAGGATTATTCATAAATGTTTTTGGCTAAAGTATATAATAAATTTATTCTACTTACATTAAAATAAAATTTCAACTTTATTACACATCAAAAAAATATTTGGCTAAAATTTCCACATATTATATAACTGATCTGCATGACATTAATAATTTTAATCATTTGATATCAAGCATTCTTTGACTCAAATTCTACTAAAAGAAAGATATATTTCACATTTTTAATTCATTTTTCCATTCTTACTCTGAATCCAAAAATCCTCTTAAATTGAGAAGAAAAATATCTTTTTTCTTTCTAAAATTAGAATTTTCAGACAAAATATAAGCATATTGATCTGAGAAAAAATTACCTCAAGATAGGCATATAAATATATTAACATGCATTTTGAGTGTGAATTTTAATAAATTATAGAAATTCAGGTAAACCAGAGAGCTGACAACTTCGTTCTCCTATTTTTCTTATAGTCTTCCCATGATCATATGAACAATAAATTCTGGCATCTTTGGTATGGTTAAATTATAATGATTAATAGACTTTTCCGCTTAGCATGATTTTCCACAACTAATCAATATCAATTAAATGAAGCAATTGAAAATATACTACTAAAGTTAGTATTCTGAACATGTCCTACAAGTGTCTCAATATTAAATAATAAAAATTGTCAACAAATTTATAATCTAAGACTCATATTGACTTGTGATACCTCAATGAGGCAAATTTGATATTAAAGCTCAGTATTCTAATTATGTTTACTTGATTTATTTTGCCATATCCATTCTGATTTACTTTGTATACATGACAACTTTTAATGTACTCAGTTAAAGTTAATTCTTAGCATTTTTTATGTTCCTATTTGTGTGCTTCTTAATTAGATCGTTAGAGTAGAAGATAAGAGGAGTTATGGTGGAGGTTGTTTACTTATAATTAGCTCTAACAAATAGAGTTTCTCAGAAAAATAATTAGATTCTATAATTGTTAGGTGCTGGAGTCACTTGATGTTAATGACTCTGGGTCAATCCCATAAAATATCCTTATCGTCTTAATGAAAGAATCTTCTCTGTAATTACTAATAATTGTTACCATTTGTTAAATTCTTAATATATTTTGATCCGTGAGCTACTCAGTTGACAGGTATCATTCATTTAATTATTGCAAAGTACCTATAGTGGGTTCTATGTTATTTTTGTTTTAGGAATAATGAAACAGAGGCACAGAGAGCTTGATTTATTTTCCTAAGCTTTACATTTTCAAGGTGAACAGTGCCGATCTGATGCTAAAATTATTACCTTTAGCCACCATAGCAGTCTGCCTTAAAACAAAAGCAAGGAAGGATACAAAAGGAAATAATTACCCAGAAATCAAACAGTGAATGAAGTTTTGAGGATTGTATTATTTTGACAATTTTGGAAGATAAATTAATCTATTTAAAATTCTGTTGCATTTAATTTTTTGGTGTGCACTACTAGCATTAAACTCAGGGCCTTCACACTGAGCTAAATCCCCAGATCTTTTGTTTTGCATTGTTTTGTTTTTATTTTGAGACATGATTTTGAAGTCCCTAAACTGCCCAGGCTAGGCCTGAACTTGTGTTCTCCTGCCTCCGTATCAGAGTACCGAGATATACATGTGTATCACCAGGCCCAGCTGCTGAATTTAAAGTTATAAGGAAGCAGAAAGTCCCCTTTTCGTTTTTAATATTTCATCTGTGAGTTTGGGAAGAAGGAAGCAGAATTGCATGAACAATATGAATTATATAGGTAAGGAGTAGAAAATTCACACAAATACACAGAAAAAGGCAAAGACAGGAATGCTCACTATATACAAACACTGACAAGAAAATGAAAACAAGCTTACATATTCCATTCATCTTTAGTTTTCAATGAAATACTAAATAATGAAGAGGATTATCAGTTTTCATTCTAGAGATACACATTTGTTTCCTCAATTAGAATATCTAGCATATTTATGTAGTAATCTCTTCAACTTTATGCCCATAAATAAATTTTTGATTTTTTGCAAGCATCATGTTGTTCTCAAAAATGTATCGGCCTCTCCTCCCAGCGTGGCTTTGTCTGTGCTCTGCTTCCCTGCCACACCACCCTCCTGGTGACCTGGTGCTCAGATCTGACCCTCAGGTTTCCCCACTCACAGAAGCAAAGAGGAACAGCCAGGAAGCAGTCTGTGCAAAGACTCTCAAATTTAAACCAGCCTTGCTGGGCGTAGTGGTGCACGCCTGTCATCTCAGCACTGGGAAGGATCCCAAGTTCAAAGCCAGCCTGGGAAACGTGGTGAGAACATGTCTCAGGATAAAATAAAAAGGGCTGAGGAAGCAGCTCATTGTTAGGGCGCTTGCCTAGCATGTACAAGACCTGCAATAGTTTGTAAACAGGCTTAAGAGCAGTGTATCCTGTTGTAGGTTTTTGCAGAAGGGAGTTCAAGGTCAGCCTGGAATAGGTAGCTTGACCCTGTCTCAAATAATAACACAGAACAAGAGATCTTACTGAGTATTCTGAAAGTGCGGGCTCCTGAGAGGTACTTTTCAGTATTAGCTTAGCCAGGGCAGAGAGCTGAGAGGACCACGAAGCCCCAGCCCTCCGCCATTCCTGCCCGTGGAGCCCACTAGGCTCAGTTTAGGACCTGCAAACTGGCACAGCTAATACCTGCTCTGGGCGGATAATCATTTCACCATTTAAAGCGAACACTTTCTTTTTTTAGTGAGAGAGACTCTTTTCCCCTTTAGTTTAACTCCAGACCTGGGCATCTGTAGCTCAGCGGTAGAACACATTCCTAGCATGCTTGAGGCTGTGGTTTGAACCCCACCCCCCAAAAAGACAAGAAAGGCTGTGTGATCTAAATTGGGATAAATTTTGGTAACTTCTGTTAGAAGACGAGTCTGTTTTTTCTAACTTCTCATTGTTTAGCTACATATTTATTTTTGGAGCACAGTTTAGGAAAATTCGGTTACACATTTGCTTATCATTGACCGCATTTTGGCCTCTGCTGAGAACTCAGAAGAAGCAGGTGCCCTTTCAGAGTCAGCGGTAGAGTTGGGGAATGAACAGCTGAAAAGGCAGGGAGTGTCTGAGTGTGGCTGAGATTTCTAGTCGTTCAGAACAGGTCGGCCGGCTGTGGCATTGTAATTCAATAACAAGAACTGCGTGAGGGTGAGTGGTTTGTGGTAAGTTTACAAAACCGGGCAGGCTGAGTTGCTGTCTGATTTGGGGACAGTCCCTCCACCTCCACCGGAAGTCCGGGCTGTTTGCAGGCCAGGCCCCCTCCCTCGCTCCCAGCCAAAGCTACTTCCTGCCCCGAGAGCTAGAGCCCTTGCTGGTCTCCACCCCAGCTGCTAGGGTTGCCCTGTCTCCCTTCAAAGGGGACGGTGTAAGAGCCAGCAATCAACACATCTCCTCCCCTACCAGGCATATTCCTGCAAAAGCCACTCGGGGCAGCATAAACACTTATGATCAGAGCCAGGTGTAGTAGGTACAGGTCCATCATCCCACCCCTCTGGGAGGCTGAGGCAGGAGGATGCCAAATGGGTTCAAGCCCAGCCTGGACAGTTTGGTGACTTAGCGAGACCCTGCCTCAAAATAGAAACTACAAAAAAGGGCGGGGGAAATAGCTCAATGCAAAGGCCCTGGGTTCCATCCCCAGTATCAAAAATAAATATTTTTAAAATGTATTCCCATTGAAAAGATTGGGGCGAAGCTGGTGTGACAAGGGGCCTCTTCCGGGTGACTTTGGCTGGGAAAGGACGCCTCACAGGATGAGTCTCAGTCAGCACTGAGTCTTTGCAGTTGTCCAGGACTTGGCAGAAATATTTAACAAGCATCGAGGGGGTCCTGGCAGCGACCCCACCCCTCCCTCGCAGACTAAGCGTTTGGTGCCCACACATTTTGGGGGGTTTACAGACAAGTCAAGCTCTGAGGCTGGTGGCCAGGGGTTTACGGCGTCCTGGCCCTTAATAAGCTGCGGGCGTGAGATTCCTTGGCCGCCCTGGGTCCTGATACCGAAGCTGCAGGTGTTACACATTCACCTGCTGGCTCCTTCGGCCGGTGACTGATTAACAGCGAGTCTGCTGAGCGCTGCACATTCATTTGTGACTGTTTTGTTCTACACCTCCGGTTTTTAATGTTTCTGCGGCAACCGGGTTTTATTCCGTGAATTCTGAGCTGCCTTTGTGCCCGATGGGACTGGATCAGTGAGATTCTGTCACAACCTCGCCCCTCGGGGCTGCGCCCTGCCCGTGGGAGGTGCAGTGCGCGTGGCAGCAGTTTCCTCCAACAGTGTTGTCTTCCGTCTTTCACAGAGTAAGTGCTTTTAAATGTTAGATCCCTTATGTAAACCTCGGTGAGTGCTTGTAGTTGGTTTTTTCTTTATTATTTAGATCCATGGTCCTCGGTGTGGGTGGGGAGCGGTTTGTCCTCACAGGGGCCATTTGCGGAAGCCCGGGGACAACTTTGATGGTAGACACCGACTAATAGGACGGCACCGAGGGTGCTGCTAATACTCTGCATGCGCAGCCCCATGACAGGGAATCAACCAGAACATCTACAGTGCCACGGCGGAGCGGCTCCAGTGACGTAAATGTGCAGCAGAGGCCGGTGACCGGATGGCAGCAGTGCCCACCGTGCTCTGCCATGGCCGAGTGCTGCAAAGTCATAGAACCTGAGGGGAGACTGAAAGGCTCTTCCTTGCTGAGCCACCTTCTCTATGCCTTGTCCCACACAGGGAGGAGACTTGCGGCTCTTGTGAGCAGACAACCTTGGGCCCTGCGACCCCAGGCTGGGGACCTGCATTGTCTCCGTGGCCCTGTGTCCCCAGGTCAGCCCCAGCCTCGAGGGCGCTCAAGCGTGGTCTCCACGCACGACCCCTTTCCCACTGTTCTGAAGAAACGAACTTCTGAGTGACTGATCTGCACAGGAAATGTAGAAATGTAGAATCTCATTCATTCACCACATTGTGGTCCCAAGGTGCACCCATTCTCTTACAGATGACTCGAGTTTATCCTTCTTAATGGCAGAGTAGTGCTCCATGGTGTGTAAATACCACTTTCTTTATCCACTCATCTGTTGATGAACAGATAGGCCGCTTCCAAGATGCAGCTGTTTGCTGCTGTAAACAGGAGTATTCATGGGTCATGCTCAGATGTCTTCAGCTCTCTGGGAAGATACTTTGGTGTATCTCACTGCCTCTGCTTCCTGACTTGGAAGCACCCCTGCGTTTCTAGAACGAAGCATACTTAGCTGGAAGGTGCCGCAGAGCGACCTCAGCCTCCCGAGCAGGTCCGCCCTCCGCTCGCTCTGCTCTGGGAGCCGAAACCCAGCTCTGCGCCTGTCGGTGTGGCTGGGCACACGGGGGGCCCATGCCTGGGAGCAGTCACCTCACTCAGGTTCGAGGAGGGAGGGTTACTGTGAGGAGCAGCTCTCCATGTCCTTCGCCCGGGGGGGGCTGGCAAGTGAGCACCGTCCCTCTGGTCCCCTAACGAAATCCCGGGGACCCGTCAGTCCTCTGCTGATGACACCAAGTGAGCATCACTCCCCCGGGCGCAGAGCACGGTAATTAATTACTTCAGTCACCTGATCGGAGTCCCCGGGGCTGGCTGCCTGAGTGCTTACTCTTAATGGGGTTTTCCCCTGTTCTGCGTCCTGTGTTCTGGAAGTGGGTGTGGACGTGAGCGCTCCTTTCTGTGCACGGGAGAAACGGGCTTGTAATGCAGCTGCTTGCAGTAGGAAGCCAGACTCCCCACACAGGGAGAGAGAAGGTAACATGCACGCCTGTCATCCCAGCACTCAGGAGGCTGAGGAAGGAGGATTGTCGTGAGTTCGAGGCCAACCTGAACTACATAGTGAGACCTCCACTTGGCCTCAGTCCACCCCCATATCAAGTCACCTGGCCACTCTACTTCCTCCAGGCTGGCCTCAGTCGTGCAGTGATTCTCCTGCCTCAGCCTCCTGAGTGCTGGGATGACAGGTGTGCACCACCAGCCTGGCTCCACGCTGGACTTTCTCCTCCTGTTCTAATGTGCCATAGAGGGGGCTACAAAGGCACAGTGGGGGAGGGTACTGGGAGGTCAGTTGCACCCCAGGCCCGCTCCCTGGCCTCGCTCTGCCTCCTGAGCAGGAGCAGGTGCTGTGGGACCTCAGGGTGTGCGAGGGCAAAGCCTGGTGCCTGCTGGGGCGCCCACCCTCCTCTGGTCTCCCCACTCGCTGCAGGGAGGCCAGGCCCCTGCCGGTGTCCAGGAGCTGGGGGCCTGAAGCTGCCTGGTCCCCACTGCCTGTGCCGGCCTAGGTCAGGGGACACGTGAAGACCCACACCCCGCCGGGGTGAGTGAGCCTGCTCTCTCTAGTGGCTCCTGGGGCTGCTTTCCTTTTTCTGTCACTAAATAAAGTCTTGGCTGCCCCCCCCCAAAAAAAGTATCTATTTTCTAGCTATAAGAACTACCTACGGTATCTCATTCATCCTCATTACTTTAAGTTCCATTGATCATTTCATTTAATGATGATAATATCTTCAGCAGCCACATGTCCTTTGGTCCCAACTGTAAACATGGTTTATTTGGGGATGAAGTGTAAGATTTTCATAATTTTCTGCTCTACTTCGTGTCCCACAGTTCTCACTACAAATCCGGCTAAAACTAATCAGCAATACCCATGCAAAGGAGCCTGAATAATGGGCTGCCTTTGAATTTCCATGTTTACACTAATTAGTCCTCCTCCACTCATCACAGTCTCCTGAAAATACTTAAGATATGGGCAAAATTTGGACAAATTTTTATCAGAGTGTAACATATGGCCTCTAATCCAATTGCCAATGAAGTACTTGTTCCCAACTGAAACCTCATTAACCTGGCCTTTACTGCCCACATTTTTAACAGGATTCTGAGCTCACAAGAGAATTACCCATTAGGCATTCTCCCAGCTTGCTTCTCCTGACTTTTCCAGACTTCTCCCACAAGCCAGTTTCAAAGATTTGCAAACCACATTGTCAGGTTTAGTCATAGCAACAATCCACTTCTCTACCACCGATTTTCTGTATTAGTCTGATTTCCAGTGGCTGGGGCACATTGCCTGACACATATAACTTGTATTTGGATAGGTTTAATTTGATTCAGGATTTCATGGGGCTTACTCCAAGATCAGCTGGCTCTAAGGCAGAAACTTCATAATGAGATGGCATGGTGGTGCCTAATTAATAGAGGATGGGAAGCAGAGAGGGGAAAAGTGCCAGGAAGGAATGGACTGAGGACCACATGGAGTTCCCAGGGCACACCTCCACGACCTAACCAGACACTCACAGATGTGTGCTTTATTGATACCTTAAGTGACGCTCAAGCCAATCAAATTGACACAATTAAAATTAACCATTGCAGGTACCAAATTCAAATACAAGCATAAATTTGAAATGTGTAAAATCCAGGGACAATCCAGTAATTTAAGCAAAATAAATTTCTAACATTAATTTGAATAGTAAAATGAAATTATGCTAATCAAATGTACTTTTCTTATTGTGTTTTCGGTTCAGTATCCTGCATGCATAAATATGAGATGATTATTTTCCCTTTGATATATTCCTTATTTGATTTCAATTGATTTCCTTCAAATGCTGTTTAAGCCTTTGAAAGATCTTGCTTCCAAATGAGCCTTTCATTGCTTGATATATTTTATTTTTATTTACTTTTGTATACATCATATAAAAGATGTTACCAAATATTTTACTTATTTGTACTATGAGAGTATAGTATATAAATATTTCAACTTATCTCCTATTTTCTCTTAGAACTTTTATGTATAGTAAGAACATTTCAAAAATCTAAGCTACTGTTTGTGATAACTACTTCTGGATTGTTCTTCTCACTAAATTCTCTAAGCAAAATGAACTGTCATTTTCTTGCCAATTGCAAGTTATTACATCTTTTCGTCTTCACAGTAAGCAATTTCCAACCTCATCATTAAATAATTATCACTATTATATTCAAATGAATGTCTGTTCTGCTGAATTGTTCATCACTATGCCAAAAAAGAAGAGAGAAAAGAAAAGGAAAGAAAGAAAATTTAGATGGACAGTATGACAGGATAGGATGGTAAGAATTATTCACATAAAATTGTTTCATCAAGATTTTCTTCTCCAATGATTTATTTTCAAATTTCAGATATCTCTTCTACTTACATTAAGATTATCTTGTGATATACTGTACCATTGCTATTCAGGATGCTAAAACTCTGGAGATTTAAGGAAAACACTGAAGAGTAATAGAATCAGTCAAAGAGTACACATATGAATAAACATTAATAAAATAATTATATATATTGTACTAAAAGTGCTTCCAGACAATTACATGAAACTTTTACCTACATAGATAAATTGGAAAATTTTGTTATTTTCATTGAGACTTAAAATCTCCTTTTTCTTCTTTTGAAATTTATGTCATCATTTCTATTAATAAATTTTATTGGTACATAATGATCACATTCATCACATGGAATTTGTATCCGTACATGATATATCTTGATTCTTGTTTTTTTCCAACTCTCTTCAACTCTTCTTCCTGTCCTTATTCACAAAAACTTTGTTCATTTTATCTTTTATTTTTTATTTTTCCCTTCTTTCTTTCCCCTTCTCCTGTCCCTAGCCCCTCTTCTCATTTGATATTTTCTTTCTATTTCACAGTATCTATTATACATTTTGGTACTTATTTACACTTTCAGTTTCTCACACCAGAGAAAGAATACGACATTTACACATGTGTGTCTGTTTCATTTCACTTAAGATTATGACCTCCAGATGCATCCATTTCCTAAATGTTGCCAGTTTATTCTATTTTATGGCTGAGTAGTACTCCATTGTATAAAAAAATCACATCTTCTTTATCCATTAATTGTTTGATGGACATTTGGGCTGTTTTCAAGATTTAGCTATTACAAACTGTGCTGCTGTAAACATGGGTATTTATGTATCATTGTTGTGATGCTTTCAGTTCTGTTGGGAAAACACCAAGAAGTGGAGTAGCTGGATCAAATGGAACCTCTAGTCCTAGTGTTTTGAAGAATCTCCACATTGATTTCCACAGTGGTTGCACCAGTCTACACTCCCACAGACAATGGGAAAGCATTCCTTTTTCCTCACAGCCCTGTCAGCATTTGTTATTGTAACTGGTCTTGATAACTGCAATTCTCTCTGGAGTGAGGTGAAATCTCAGCATTGTTTTAATTTGCATCTTTTGAATGATCAAAGATATTAAACATTTTTTCATATATTTATTTTTCATTTGTACTTCTTCATCTGAGAAGTGTGTGTTAATCTCAGATGC